GTGGTGGATTCACCATCCCTGGAGGTTTTCAAGCTGAGACTGGATGTGGCACTCAGTGCCATGGTCTAGTGACCACGGTAGGGTTGGACTTGATGATCTTGGAGGTCTCTTCCAACCTGGTTGGTTCTATGATTCTTTTTCCTGCTTTAATTGCAGTAATAGTCATCCCCTTTTCCTACTCCAACAGCCACCAGAACACCCAAGTGTGGAGTCTATTCTGGAGTCTAACTGGCAGCACACACTGCTGTGTCCCTTCACAGCCCCTGGGATAAAAACCAAAGCTCTGGCACTGACATCCTACCCTGGGAGGCTCTGGCACCACATACCTGTGTTTAGGGGACGCAGATCTCGACGCCGACCTCGAGTAACTCTGGTCTCTGCTTCCACTTCGACTTCTGCTTTCTCTTCCTTTCTGGACACTGCAAGAGACAACAGACACTCAGTGTTTTGCTTCACATGGCCATGGGAGAATCCAAGCTGCTCCCCTAAGAACCTTACCCATTTACTGGGCTATTGGAGCTTGTCCTTTTGGCTCCCTCCGTTTTCCTCTTGGCATTCTTCATTGCCTGCACAGGTAGTGGGGAAGGTTTGTTTCCTTTAACCTCCTTTGGAGACTCTGGAAAAGCAAATCTTTGTTACCTATTCTGAAAGTATGAGAAACACCCAAGAGGGCTGAAGCCTCCCCTCACCCCATCTCATCACCCCTGCCACAATCAGCACTGTACACAGGTAGTTTCACAGACACAACCACTCACAAGCAGATCTGAACAAGTTCATAGAAAGCAGAAATTAATCTGCCAAAATATTGGAGTTAACCCCAGAGAGTAAACCACAAGGGAAGGCAGAAGAGCAACTTCTTTTCTTGTGAATCATTTGGATTCTTTCCCAAGGTAAACTGAGGTAGAAGATGGTAAATGTTACCTTCCAGGCAAGATCTCCACCAGACTGGAAGTTTCCACACAGGAAAATATTCCCCACCTGACCCCTAAAATACTCCGTGCAGAGCCCCTAACTTGAATACTGCTGGAGCACAACATGCCAGTTGCAAGTATTTGTTTGAGCTTACTGCCAATGCCACATAAAAGCAAAGCCCTGTGCTGTATATTTGTTTGAGCTTATTGCCAAAGCCACATAAAAGCAAAGCCCTGTGCTGTATGAGTTTAAACTAGTCTTAATTTCAGACTAATTTGATTTGAGCCTTTATCTGATTTAAGCAATCACAGTTACAAAGCTGCTCCAACTCTGCCAGCTGAGTAGCTGCTTGAAAAGAAAATCCCCAACCAACCCCAAACCACATTGCAAATGCATCCCCAAAACAGCAAATACACATTAAAGATGAGAAAGAGTTATTAAAAACGAGTTATCCACTACTTACCATTTTTGGGGACAGGGGAAAATCCCGATGTGTTATCCAAGCTCGGGGCTCCCTCTGGTACTAAGCCTTTAGCTTGTGCTTTTGCCTCTTCAATAGCTAATTTCTTCTTCTCTATTTTACTTTCCAGATCAGATAAATCCACCTGTGGACACAGGAGCAGTGACAGCACTTAGTGAACTGAACCTCCTGCTGACTCACTCCTGGAGAGGGGAATGACTCTAAAGACTCTCAGACACTGAGTACTCTCCTGTTCCAGGTTTGCAGCTGAGGGAAGGTTTTCCTGAGCTGCAGCCTTTAGTGAGAGCTCACAACTCCCAACAAACCTTTTTCCTGGTATAGAGCTGCAAGATTTTTATGCAGATTTCCTGGATTTCCTCCTCTGTTGCTCCAAACAGCAGAAACCAGTGGGGGCGATTGGGCAGAGGGATCTGAAAGGGAGAGGAACACAGGTTCAGGTCTCTGACATTGGAAGACTGAACCCTCCCAAACCCAGGGAATGTGGCTCACTCACCTCCAGAGTCCTGGCTGCCAGGTAGATGCATGCACAGGCAATGCTTTCTGGCTGGAATCTTACAAAGACATCTGTCCTCAGGCTGTCGTTCATGTAGTTCCTGGAAGACAGGAGAGCAGAAGGTTGCAGAGCACTGCAAAGCTCTCTGAGAAGGTTTGGTTTTTTAACTTCTACAAGGGCTATTTCTTTCTGCTTTCAGTTACTAGGCTTCAACATTCTATTCCCAACGAGTGATTTTACTGTAGGAATAGCCAAAACAACCCTCTCAAGGGGAGGGAGGTGTGGCAAACTAAGTCTGACTGACTGCTGAGAATTCAGGTGTGAGAAGAGAACCAATTTTAACTTCACTTTGCTGCTGCACCTGGCCTGGCCTGCTCTCATGCAATAGACAAGTTATCTCCACCAAGACAACATACAATATAGCCCAGAGTACTCAGTTAGAGACTTTTAGGTTCACATGTTCCCCCTGCCAAGGGCAGGACTTGATATCTGGTAAAAGTTGCAGCTTCTGAGGTTGTTTTCCCAGGAAATCATAGTCCTCCTTCAGCACAGGTCAACTCCCATTGGGATTTCAGGGGTCCATTTCCTTCAGGAGTATCATTTTTCCATCCAGAACAGAATCCTTTGTGATGCAAAAATCAGCCATAGGAGCAATCAGGGTGTTTGGGAAGGTCAGTTCAGGAGAACAGTCAGTGTTCAGGCACATCTCCTTCTTTGGCACATGAAATAAGGTTTCCAAACTGTCCCATTTCAGAAAGGTTGCTTAAAATGAATATTCACAGAATGAGAAAACTGCAAAATATTGCATATATTCCAGTCAGTACAGTTAAGCATTACTGTGCTAAATCTTAAATACACAAAGCAACTTCTTCTTAATCTGTCAGTTGATGTGCTTAAGATCTAAGATTCCTGAGCATGTATTGTCAAGCCAAGTATCAGATGGAGAAAAACTAAAACCAGACACAATATAATAATCTTTAAAGTAGTAGTTAACCACGTGGGTACCCAGTATACAAGGATTCACTGACCCCCAAGGCATCCAAAGCAGAGACCACAGGTCAAACACCTGCAAACAGTGTACAGAGACACACAGGAGGAGCTCCAGTCCTACAAATATCCAACTCCACCTCCTCAGCTGTCACTGCTGCCCCAATGCTAACCATCAACTCATCTTTCTGGGAGAAAAGAAACTTCCAACCCTCCTTTTCTTGTCCCATTACAAAGAAAGCACAAACCTTTTGGCCAAAGAAGCAACAAAGTGGAACTTCAACCACCTGGAAGTCAACTTGCCCAATTGAAACACATTATTTGCTTCCAAGTTTGGCCTCTGCATCTCTTCCCTGTGGGCTCAGAATGAGACACAGGAGGAAATGAATCCTTGTCACAATATTTGAAGAAGAAAAGGGAATGTTGTATAAATGCACAGTGATACTGGATACCCACCAGCTTTCAGGTTCTGGAGGCAACAAACATGAGCACAGAGTGATGCTGTTGTAACATCTGACCCATTTCTCCATCAGGGTAATTCCCTCCCTCCTCCTCCTCCTCCCCCACCCCTTCCTTCATAACAAGCAGATCCATACTCACATTCCAGTACTCCATGCAATGGTACTGGGAAGTGCCTCTAAATATTCCATTTGTCTCTAAGCTTCACAATGTTTTCTCGCTAATTTACAAAACTATTCATTGCTTTGGTATTAATTCACCTCTTGCTTTTGGTGTTATTTCACCCCTTTTAAGCTTTAACCCCCACTTTAAATTTGCTTTAACACAGTTTAGAGGAAACAGAAGGTGATAAACCTTTCGTAACATCAACGATCAGGTTGTAAAATATACAAACGTTGAAAAAAATGCACAATCAAAAAATAAAAATAAAAAGTCAAGAAAAAGGATAAGCACAAGAAGCAGTTGGCCAGTTAACTCTACTATCATGTATATACCACCTGTCTAGAGCCAGCCTTCTCTTGGGAGAGCTTTGGGATGACTGAAGACGGCAGCTATCCCTGCACCATGGGCAGCAGAGGAGAAGTCTTAGTCACTTACCCTCAGAGGCTACCCTTTGATTAAAAGAGTACAGAAAAGACAAGTCAAAACTGGTTCTCCACACACAGCTCACAGTACCAGACAGTTCAGTCAGCAGAAATATGGTCTTTGGATTCACTAAAAGGTTTTTTTTTGGGGTTTTTTTACAGCACTATGTTGGTTAAAGAACGTTACGGTTTCAAAGCGTTAATGTTTAAGACATGGAATTTTACAGCAGTTTCCCACCCCCCAGCAAATCTTTGTGGCAATGAGAGCAATCAGAGGACATTTCGTGGCAAACATGAATCCAGTCTATCCATCTATCCAGTCTTAGGAGCTGACATCTTGCTTTATCCATACCAATTTGTCTGTGCAGTTTTTGATACACCTGTAATAAGCTCAAGCCATTTCCCAGCACTGGAAACGAGACTTGAACTACACATCAGTTTTGTCTGAAGAACAAAATCCCAATGCAACACTCTAACCCACCCAACACTTTCCCTTCAGCAGTGAGAGCAGAGAGGAGGGAGGGAAGAGGTGGGGGAAGCTACCTTACCATTACAACAGTGCCTCTGACTTAAGAGGGGAGTGGTTTGGGGCACACCAAGGACAGTGGAGCTGTCTGGGGTGACCCCAAGTACTCCTGAGCAATCCTGCCCAGTGCCTCAAGTGACATATTTCTGCTACTGCCCCTTCTGGTCTCTTAGAAGAAGGAAAATCAACTTACCATGAGGTCTGGACCAGGTGTTGGTTACGTTCACATTCTAATACCTGAAGGTACATAACGATTATCTGGAAGATACGGGTCAGGGAGTTATTAACAAGCATCTTCAGAGCCACCTGCTCATCTCAGAGGGACATCCAGGAGGCAGCTGTGAGCCTCTTTCCAGTCCTAAAACACTCCACATCAGTGTCTGCACCATCCCCAGGGCATAGCTCTGCTCTCCAAGTGCAGGAGCTGGACACAGCCACAGCTCTGACCTTCCCAGCTCTCCAACTCCAGAGCTTCTCATCCAGGTGTCCTGTCTTCACCTGGTTTGGAGCTAGGGATGTTCTCCTACACACCTCAGGACTCCTTTTAGCTGCAGCTTGGGATATCATATTGCTCACTGCAACGAGCAGTGAGAGAAGTGGAGCAGTGTCTGTGAGAACAGACCTAACATTGTGTGTCAGTCATGTGTTCAGCTCTAGGGTTCTCCTTTGGTGTGAAAGGAAAACAACTCCACAGACAGAGACTAAGGGCAAAACTCACATCAACTAACAAGCACAGCTGCTCTCTGGGGTGGTTGGCACGAGGGAGTTCTGAGAAGGCTTTGAACAGCAGATTTTAGAGGAGGAAAGGGCAAGATCCCAAGTTCTGGCATGGAAGTAGGAAGTTTTTAACCCACTTAAGACACAATGGTACTAAAGCACCAACTTAAACATGTGCAGGAGCTGCATTTTGCAAGTATCACCTAGTCTGATCCTTGATAATTCCCATTTCTAGACAAACCCTTCACGCTTGAGTGTAGTTAAGAACACAAAACTAGCTCAGATGGGTTTAACAACCTCAGCATGTTCCACAAGGAGAGACCATGACAACCCCAGGCCTCCAAGCTCCTCTCTGCTGCAGAATCTATGCCAAGGTGCTGTTTTCTGCCAGCACAGCTACCTACTTATCCAATTTGACTTGAAGGAACACTGAGCACCTGCATCCAGCTCGGCGTCACTCACACCGATTTTAGAGTCTCTTAAATGAGAAAGAAAACATCAGGATGGTAAAAAACCAATCACACTGCATGAGCTAGTGATCAGGTAGAATCCAGAGCTGCCACACAGCCTACTCAGAGCACTGACAGCACATCAGACAGTGGCTATGGAGTGAGACAGTACAAACCTTGTGAGGATGCTTCACGTGGACACAGAATCCCAACTCCTTCAACACTCTCCTTTCTGCCTTAATTATCTGATTCTTCAAGTTCACATACTCTTGATCCAGAATTAGAGGCACAGGTTTTCTGCAAGACAAGTTCAAACTCTGATGATTACCTTCACCCCAAAGAGGACTCGTGTGTCTGTGTATGGACAAGAGATATCACTACTGATAACACCAAAAACGTAACAAAACGGGTGAAACTCCCTTTTCTCCTCCGTGAGATCCCTGCAGGATGTTCCCTGATTTATGAGACAAGGAGGGGGATGTTGTTACAGAATATTTGACTGAGAGCAGAGCAGAAGTGAAGAGGTGTGAGGGGCTGGACTCACTTTTTCTCACGTAGGTGCCGCAGGCGATGGAACACGTTGATCACGTCCCGGATCCTCCTCGGAGCCTCCTCAATTTTGGAGGCCAAATGGACACAGGCCATGGACACATGCTGGAAGAGAAGGATTTTAAGACACTGATGTTTTGCTCAGCTCAGGATCTGATCCCCTCCAGGAGGGATAACAACAAAAACCCAGTGCTAAACACTACAAATTTGGCACGATCAGCTGTGAAAACATCACGTTGCTCAGTAAGTTTCTAATTACTAACTCTGATCACACCTCAGTGACAACAAAAAGACATCAAAGACCAGAAGCTGCACATGGCTACAGATGTTATGTCATGTTTTCCTTACCTCCATGGAATGTTTCACAAAGGACTTGGTATAAAAGAAACGCTGGAACAGCACCTGACCTGTAGCCATAGCCACCTGGAAAAGAGAGAACCACCAGAGGTGTGAGCAAAACTACCTGTTCCAAAGAGAAATTCCAACACATTTCACACCCAACAGACTGAGCAGGAGATTAAGTTCAGTGGTATCTAAACAAAACTAGTACTGCTGCTCGAGTATTTAAGTTGCTCAAAATGTTATCGAAACTAAAATAATGTAAGTCAAATACAGACACTAAACCACGACTTAGTTACCTAAAGTATGAAAGTATGTATATAAAGTGCAAAAATATGCAAATTAGTTAATTACATACTAATTTAAAGGGGAGGAAACCCCTAAACCCCAGTAAAACTGAAAGTTCTGAGAACAGGCAAAAACCGTAAAAAACCCAATAAACGGAACTTTAGTAACGATTTGCAAACGTTTAACCAGCTGCGACTCAACGGTTGGGAGACGCCCGGGAAGTTCCACACCGTTTGGCCTGAATTCCTGCAGCAAACCAACCCGTTCCCGAGGTGACTGCGCCTCGAAGGAGCCTAACCAACCGTTCCCTGCACAATCCCCGAGCAAGGCCCGCGCGGCCGCGGCGTGGGCGGCGCAGGAAGGCGCTGACATCACCTCTTCCTGCGCTCCGCGGGCGGGCGAGGCTCGGGGGGGCCC